TTGATTATTCATGGGATTATAAAATTGCCCGTTTGGATTAGGGAAATTCCGATTTCTGAAATTGCCTTTATTTTGGTGTGACTTATTGTCATTATTACTTGAATAAAATTTCTCGAAATTCTCAAATTCATTTACATAAGCTATGGCGTGTTCTAAAGAAGCTGGTGCTTTTAAATGCATATTATTTTTTAATGTGCCGGTACAACCCGCAATAAAAGTATTTAGTGCTGTATTTTCGCAAAATTGTATGAAAACAGTTTTTTGATTTACATCAAGACTAGTATCATTGCTAATTCTTTGTACTATATTACTTGCTAACAATTGTAATCTATTTCCAAATTCTATTAAATTTTCATTTCTTTGTGGCCTAGTTCTAGTAAGTTCTTGTATTAAGGATTGTAAATTACGTTTATCAGAAAAACATTGTATAAGTGCGGCTTTTAAAAGTGCCCAATTATTTAATTCTACCCTATTTCCTACCATAATCTCAGCTTTTCCTATAAGTTTTCCTTGAATACATTCAAAAATGTGATCATTTAATTCTTGGTCATTATATGCTCTATATGTAATAATTAAGTTATCGCAAAGATAAATAAATTTATTTAAAGTATTAGTATCTCCATCATAAGGTCTAATATTTGAAATTTTTGACTTAAATAGTTCCCAATTAATGGGACGCGTTGCCGTCGCTTGATTAGCTTGAACAGTTTGGTTAGTTGCCATTTTAATATTTTTATTATCTTTATTTTTCCTACTTTTAAAGTTAATCTTTAGATTTTTAAGAGATTCTACCAAGGAATCAGCATTAATCATAAAATGAAAATATCGTCTAATAAACAATGTCTTAACAAGCTATCTTCCAAATTTATGAAAAATAAAAGGAAGGCAAGAAGGAACTTGGCACTCACCTCGATAGTCTTTGCCAACTACTTCTCCAGATTCGTCCACCCAAATGAAGGACTGCTGTCACTGAAGGGCTGCTTTCCAATGGGGGCTGCTTTCCACTAAACGGAATGTTCTTTGGATTTGCACTTAAGGCGTTGAAACACCAAAGTCCCGAAAAAGTCTGCTTTCCGATAGATACGAAATTCACAGTTTCGCGACTCGCACAAATCCTACTGACTGCGCCAATTTTAAATTTCAAAAATGAAATTTGTTTTTTAAAAAATATTTTTATTTCTAAGCTACAAATAAATACATCTAAACTGAACAAGACCAAGAATAATAATAATTTTACAATGCGAATAATTAAAGAAACAATATGATAACTTCTAGGGGAAACTGCAGAGTAAGTTGCAGGTGTTGGTTGCGATTCTGCCAGGTCCGGACTTTCGTACCATGTAACTCACAATACCAATTTTTAGGCACGTTACCACGTAAGTTATCACATGGATTCATTTAAGTAGTTATGAAAAAATTACTGCTTTCTTTGGAAATTTTAACTAGATATCATTAATATAGAAAGTTTACAGATTACGTACATAGTCATAAGTTGAAGATTTGTTTTGAAATAGTGACGATAACTGTACCTAAAAGTATATAAATTGTAACATGGTGATATACCACCTTAAAAACCTTTGAAAAATTTTATTGTGGGCTATGCCCACCGAAAAACGTAAAAGTATTATTCCAATAATAGTTAAGCACAAATAAATAATTCATTTAAAGAAATTGAAAAAACTATCGCATCAGTGAAATTTAATTAACAAATTTGACATTTACTAATGTATAGAACTATAGTTTATTTTTATGAACGAGAAAGTAATTAGCATAATTTTAACTGGTATCTCCGACCACTCCATGGGCGTGCTCAAGATTAATTGAAAAATTACTTTGAATAATTGTAAAAAATAAATGAATTATTTCAGTGTTATAAAGTGTTATGTGTATGTAAACAAAAGTGATCTCTTTTATCACACACTATATTAGAACTGACTGGCCTACATTAAAAAGGGTTTTAAAAAATTCACATTTTTTTTAATTTTTAAAAATTACAAAAGAGAAAAAGAGTTTTTAAAACCGTCTAAGGTATGTTAAATAGATGAATAAAAATATTAATATAAAACTTACAGCTACTTGTTACAAATTCAAATCAGATTCAGAAGATGAACTTTCAGAACCAAGATTTATAATAACTGGCTCGATCATTTTATCAGTAATATTGTCCAGCTTCCACATTTTTTCCTCTTCTTTAATAGTGTGATTTACTGCCTTTTCCCAGTTTTCAGGTTTTACATTATTTACGGCCTCCAAAAACAACTGTTTAACATCATGAATTTTAAAAGTGGTATTTTTTCTTGAAACTTCACTCTTTATCTGTGCCCATACCAGTTCAATCGGGTTTAATTCACAATGATATGGTGGGGATCTAAGTACTGTCATTCCACGATTTTTGGCAATTTCATCAATTTCGTATTTTTTAAATTTTTATAGATCCGGGATGGTACGTAATATTTTTTGAACTCAGCCAATTCTGCAAGTCTTTTTTTAACCACTTGGTTGTGGGCAGTCCTTCTATAAGTCTGGAGTGATAACTTGCATTATCCATTACTATTACACAGTTCTTAGGAAAAAGATCTATCATTTGTTCGAACCATTCTTGAAAGACATCAGCGTTCATGTCTTCATGGTAGTCACCGGTACGAGTTGATTCAAAAGTTAATAAACCACCTTCAACAAAACCGTCTGAACTGCCAATGTGTACTATTATCAGCCTGCGTCCCTTTCCTGATGGTGGGTTTAAACCAGTAGATAAGTTATTTACAAAAGCGTGCCTTTGACTTGTAACAGTTTCATCCTGTCAAAATTTATTTGGTGTATGACCCTCGTTGATCCATGTTTCATCAAGATAAAATATTTTTCTTTTTTGGTTTCTCATTTCCTTTATGGTTCTTAGAAAATGTCTTCTCCATATGACAATATCGCTTCTTTCTACTAAAATAGACTTTCTGGGATTCTTTTTCCAGCGGAAGCCTATTTCTTTTAAAAGTTTCCATAACGTACTTCGACTAATTTCTGGGTAATCCTTATCATCTCGAACTGAGACAAGAACTTTATCCAATGTTGGAAATTCTTGTCTAAAGAAGAATTCATGCACTTTCCGTCGAAGTCCTTCTTTAAAATGATATTCTATTTGAAATTTTGGTTTCCCTGAAGCATTACGTGGCATTTGAAAACTACCACATTTCTCTTCTTTAATAACTCTGTAAATCGTAGATTTCCCAACACCAAGTGTACTGCTAACTAACTCAACGGTCTCATCAACACTTTCACATAAACGTTTGTCTGTAAATGATTTAAAACAATTGAATATTAATGTTTTTTCATTAACTGTTAAAGGACCAATTTTTCGGCGTTTACACGGCACTTCCAAATTTTCCATAACACTAGTATACACAATAAACTGCACCTTGCAACTGAAGTACCTACTTTTAGCGAACTGTTAAGAATTTTGAATACGCCACTTGGACCTTCCTACAAAATGGAAAAACCCACTATCACATTTTCTGTGGAATAAGTTTAGAAGGTAATTATCTAGTCAATTACTGTCGTAGATTCCTGGAATTAAAGAATTAAATGTTTGATTGTTGAAACCCTTACTTCGTGGAATGCACTCATTTCAGATAAAATAAAACGTTTTATTTTATCTAAAGAATTAAACTTTATTTTGCAAATAGGTAGGTACTTATTAAACTTTTATTGGTTATATATAACCAATAAAATAAACATCTTACATTTCTTGCAAATTCATTAGTACCTGTTAACCTCCATCACTCCGACACTGGCAACCTTATTTAGGGATTAGTAACCCTCACAACTATTGTATTCTATTCTGCTCCAACCTTTATACCTGGTGGTCATACTCAATTTAAAATTGTTTTCCTATATACTTCTGTAAACTTGTTGACAAATATCTGTTTTTCATTGAGTCACCCGTATCAACAGTTTAGGGATTTGCATACATAATTTATTGTTTTATTACTCTCTCATACATAAAAATACACTATAGAGTTGGAAAAAACAATTATATAATTGTTAGTCAAAAAATGACATCAGTAAAAAGGCAAAATGACTCTGATTGCTCAATAATTTACTTAAAAACCTAAGTATATACAAAAAAATAACCACTGTCGTTAACTAACAACAGAAAAAATAATAGATTATAAAAAATATAGAAAAGAATAGAAAAAATAATAGATTATGAGGTGTCGATTATCGAGTTATCTATGGCATTCTATATCTTAGTGTGGTAAGATATAGAATGTAAGACCATTACAAAGTCTTTACCCGGTGGAAGTCGTCGATACAGTTACTACTGGCGAGAATGTCCAAGGTAATACTCTACTGTGTGGAAGTCAGACGGTTCCAGAGAGGTTACCCCAAGAGAACCTTGGTCGACTCCAGTTTGAGGAAAAACCAAGTGAAAAAAGTGCGGGAGTGATAAAAAGCAGAGCACTACTAACTTACTTAAATGAATCTTTATTTTTTGAGAAATTATGACAAATTTCTCAAGGTGGGAGAATGTCGAGTAACTGATATGTTTATTTGGAAAGTTACCTAATCAGTGCATCGCCTCTTTAGCCGAGGGCTGGTGAAGGCAATTAAATTTTATGACTTTTTCGTCTGGAAATGTATCGTTATATTGAATATCGTAATATAAATATTTGGTTTATGTAGATATAGCCAGTCGAATTTGTACCACCGAAACAAACTGAATTAAATAAAACTTTAAATCACATTTGTGTATTTTAATACAAAAGTAATTTTTTTGTAAAAGAAATTTAATTTTGCATTTTTTCGTACCAGGAGTCTCTTGCGAAAATTAACCGTAGGACATTCCTAACATATTAACCTATGTCCAGCTAAAAGATTTATGTACTCTATAAAAATTTATACCTTTTAATTAGCATTGGTTTAATCCAAAAAGCTCATTTTTTTCTGTAACTTGTTTTGCATTTGTTCTTACTTATTTAACAAGACAACACCTGTTTAATACTTACCTATCACAAAAAACATCCAGCCTTGCTGCATTGCAGTATAATTAAATCGGTGATGTGTAAGAAAAGTAAGAGTAAACTCCAAGCCACTATATATAAGCAAATAAACAAAATATAAAAAGCCCAAGGTTTTTAACTTTTTTTGTTCATCTCTAGGAAGGCCAGTTACGGCAGTGAAATCAAAAAGACTTTTGACGTTTATTAAAGATAGCATATTTTTCACTGTGACTTTAACATCTTTGGCACGTTTCTCCTAAAACACAACAATGTATATGTAATTATATTAGATATATTGTTCATTGGTAATATTACAAAAGTACTTTTACAAGTCAAACATAAATATAAATAAATAGGTCAGTCAAATAAAACTGTAATATGTGTAAAAAGTAAAGAAAATATGGATTTATGTCAAAAGTATCAGTTTAAATAACGACGTCGTTGTTTAAACATTGATTTTATAGCAAAAAGCACAGAAAATCACCATTTTAAAGGCGCCGTAGGCACTTTTTCAATTTCATGGACATCGAATACCTCAAACGAAGAAGTGCTGCATAGAATAGGCAAGGAAAGAGAACTTTTTAACACAGTAAAAGTAAGAAAAACATCATACCTAGGCCACATACTGAGAAATAATAAGTACCAATATGCCCAACTTATAGTGAAAGGAAAAATCGAGGGAAAGAGAGGCCTAGGAAGGAAAAGACTATCATGGCTCAGAAACATCCGACAATGGACAGGGCTAAATTTTGAACAGCTAATAAGAACAGCTGAAGATAGAGAAGAGTTTAAAATTGTAGTAGCCAACCTCCATTGAGGAGAGGGCACTTTAAGAAGAAGAAGAAGAAGTAGGCACTTGCCTACTTAAGAAAATGAAAAACCTTTTTAACATGTGCCTTTTGGACAGTAATATACCTGACAAATGGCACAATGCCGAGTTAATTCTATTGTAAAAAAAGGAGAGCCCCATGAATTAGAAAACTACAGACCTTTAAGTCTTCTTAGTCACCTATACAAACTCCCTACAAGAATAGTAACGAATCGTCTTGAGAAAAAACTTGATTCCTACCAGCCAATAGAGCAAGCGGGATTTCGTTCCGGATTTGGAAAAAATGATCACCTACAGAGCATTAAAACGGTAATAGAAAAGACTATCGAATACAATTGACTACTCGTTCTGGCTTTTGTAGATTTCCAAAAAGTCTGACACGGTAGAATTTGGCAAAATCCTGGAAGCACTACAAGCATGCCCATTGACTACCGATATACAAGGTTAATTTACAATACACACAAGAACGCAACTATGTCGGTGAAACTACATGAAAACACGGATTATATCCCAATCGGCAGAGGAGTCCGACACCTTATCGCCTAAACTGTTTACTGCAGTACTAGAATATGCTTGTAAAAAACATAACTGGGAAGAGAAAGGCCTGAACATTGACGGTAGAATATTAACAAATTTGAAATTCGCAGATGACATAGTTTTGTTTTTGGACAACCTCAAGGAGATATGTACAATGCTATATGAACTTCAGTTAGTGTGTGCCAGTGTGGGTCTTAAAATCAACATCTCCAAAACAAAATGCATGACAAACCTAGTACCTCGCGGAAATATCAATATTGGAGACGACGTAGAGCTGGTGGAAAAATACATATATCTTGGACACAAAATAAAGGCCACAAGAGACAACCAAACACGCGAACTAAACTTAAAGACATCTTTAAAAGCGATATACCAATTTCTTTAAAACGTCAAACATTTGACCAATGTGTGTTGTCTGTGATGACCTATGGTGCCGAAACTTTGAGTTTCACAGCTACAAGTTCTAAAATGCTACAAATATCTCAGAAGAAAATGGAAAGGTCAATGCTGAGTATATCGCGTCCTGACCTAGTTAGAAATGAAGACTTAAGATGAAGAACAGGAGTTACCAATGTAATTTCCCGAATTGCCACACTGAAATGGAACTGGGCCGGACACGTCGCCCGAATGAGTGATGAATGGTGGACAAAGAGTGAAGCTTGAGTGAAGGACGAGGTTAGACAAAAGAAGTAAAGGAAGACCCCCTACTCGTTGGACAGACGAACTCAAGAAAATGTCAAGAAATTGGATGAAAAGTGCTCAAGATTGAGCACAATGGACAAAAATGAATAAGGCCTATGTCAAGCAGTGGATGCAAAAGGCTGGGTGATGATGATGTCTCTCCTAGCCTTGTTCTCATATCTTTTTGTTTATTGTAAAAAACATTGCAATGGAATATTAAATGATCTGTGTCGCATGCGCTCCACATTCTATACATAAATAGTCTTCAGTTTTCCTTATGCGATATATATATATATATATATATATATATATAATATATATATATATATATATATATATATATATATATGAGACCTAAATGAGCCGTGTTTGGTCAGGAATTGATGATAAGCTATTAAAATAGTTTCCTTGGAAGGCACTTGTATAAGACTCCTGAAAAGGAAACATTGTTGGGGAAGCTTTTTCAATTAATTAATGTATGTTCTTCCCACATTAATCTTGCATCTAAGTATACCCCCAGAAACTTCGCCTCAGTTGCACATTGTGGTAGAGCAATGTCTCCAACATCAGTGTTTTTTTTTAAGTGAAATTAATGTGAAATGATATGTATCCACAAAAACCATCCATTTAGAGGACATCTAAAATTTAGACTAAATAAAAAATAAAATGAACAAGTTTCGCATAAAGCTATACAAATTATGTACCACTGATGTGTATACATATAATTTGGGAGTATATTGCAAAGAAGCTGCTAATTCTGGTAGCAACACTTCAGCAAACATTGTTCTAAATGTGATGGAGAATCTTCTCAGCAAATGAAGATCCCTCTACTCTGACGGTTACTATAAGAGTATTTCTCTGGAATCTGTTCTATTAGAAAGACAAACCATTTAGTGGGGACTGAGTGGTCTAACAGAAAATTAAATTCAAAAGCGGTTGTTACAAATAAATTGAAAAATATGAAGTATTTGCTTAAGAGACCAATAATGAAATAGATATGTTGAAGCGGAAGTATGCCAGAGATGTCTAAACATACAGATGAGGTTTTCAGTGTTACCAAAAAAAAATTCAAATGTTATCCATAAATTAAAAAACAAAAACAGATTTTGACTACAACAAATCAAAAGCTTATATTGATCTTTCATATACACTAAAAGCATATTCTCATTGTCTCAGAAGAGAAAGTAAAGGAATGACTAAAGACAAAAATGCAAATAACAGAGTTTTGAGAGAATCTTGCTTCACCTCTCTTACATTTAGAAAAAGGTAATGATCTTCAGATAAACAATACAAAAATCAATGTAATCTAGAACAGACTAGAGATTGTTGGGTAGAGTTTTATTCTAAAATCAAGAATACTTTACGCATGCATGTTGGGTAGAGTCAAACAACCAGCAGTAAGTGGTAATTTATGTCATATAAAAAAAATTGACATATGTTTTTTTGATACTCATCAATTAAACAAATAACTATTGAAACTGTATTTTTTATATTATTCAAAACTTATTATCGCTTATACTTTTTGTTTTTAAAAGTTTACAATTATTGTTTCAGTGAACACAAGATTTCACTTATATCCCCTACCTAAAAGCTGAATGTACCAAATATAACAAAACTTTCATGCCCAGACTTCATAAGCTTCAAGTACAAGGAGATTCAAACTAAGGGAGTTATGAATGAAGAAAATGAAGCCCTAGAACCTCAAAGTTCTTCTTTAAAAAAATAAATAATTCTTCACTTTTACAATTACACAGGAAAAAAGCTGAAATATACTTATTAATTTTTTACAAAAACCAATTTCTTAGCTTAATTATTCAATTAGGGGTATAATACTTACTTCAGGTAAAGTCTCCTTAAATGTTGTCACAAAGAAGATTAAATCAATAAGAGATAATAGGAACGCAAAAAGTGCAGGGACAATAAACCATTCACCAGAACGTTTTTTGGCCCATACAGCAAAACCTGCTCCAATTAGGGTCCAACGATAAATCCCAAGGAAAATGCAATTCCTATTAGTGCCTACAATTGATTAACTAATTTAGGGCATATCTGTCAATTTAGGATCACATCCTATATCCATCAAATTTTATAAAAGGTTATAATACATACCATTCCTTTACCTCTAGTGTTTATGGAAGATACATCAGTAATAATTGCCATACTTAATGATACATTTCCTTTGCTAATCCCTCCTAGAAATCGAGCCAATATAAATATTAAAAGATTTTTGGATAGTGCCCATAGAATATATGAAAGTGATATACCCACCTACAAAGAAAAAAAATCTTTACTAACAGTGTGTTGTGTAATGCTCATTGTTGTTACTAGTTTTTTCCTTTTGAAAATACACTGAAGAATAACCAGACCAGTATATGGATGAGATACATCTAAAAATAAAAACTGCATTACCTTAACAGTCCTTATTTCCAGCAATATTCTTACAGAGTATCTAAAAGCATCCAAAGCTTATACATTTAAATTAACAATTTTTTCTTACAAATCAGTTGTGTACAATATTAAACAATTTTGATTAAAGTAAACTTTACACTCATGTGTTGAAACATTGAAAAATGCACTAAAATTTTCATATTACTTACTAGGCAAATAACCATAACTGTTTTCCTTCCAATTATATCTGACAGACCTCCACAGATAGGTGCAGCTAAAAATTGCAGGAAACTAAATAAAGATCCTAGGAAACCTCCAAATAACACTGAATTATATTCTTCGGGAGCACCCACCAATATTTGAAATTCATGAATTTGGCTAGACAGCCAATTGTACCATCCTTTGCTATCATTAATTTTATAATGGTCCAATAAAGAAGGTAAAAGAGGTAATATCATAGTAAAGGCGAACAGATCTAATAGTAATGATATAAATATTACATATACCATTTTATGAACCTTTTCTTTTTTAGTTAACATATTGTGGCTTTGTAAGTGTGATGTTTTAATACTGATTATGTTAAATTTTATATAAGAAACTAATAATACTGGTGATTTGGCACAAAATAAACTTTTATTTATTTATCACTGGGAACTGGGAAGCCTACATTTACTGTTTTTTTATTTATGATGATTGATGCTGAATCACTTTTTCATTTTTTTAACCTAAAAACCAATAATTCAAATTAAAAAGTGAAAGTGACAAGGATGTTGGTCTCATTGCTTCCGATTCCAACACATCAAATTTGTGGATTATTTAATTTGTGTATAAAACAGAGAGGTTATAAAATAAATAAAGTAATTTATTCTTCTTTTTATTTTTCTTCTCTCATATAAGCAGTTTAGAATTGTAGCAAAATTTTATCTAGTAAAATAGTTTCTTTTATTACAAAATAAACAAAAATTTTATTAAAAAACATATATGTATGTATTCAAAAAAGGTCCAAACACAAAAAGATAAGAATATATTTTTTGAAACAGAACATTATACAATATTGTTTTTTTTTGACAGTTCCAACGTGTCAAATTCTTTAACAATTATTGTACTGTCATTGTCATTATCATTTCAAGTGGGAGTTGCCAAGTTATTATTAGGAATAGATATGTTGTTATCATTTTCGTAAAAGATTTGTGAAAGTGTTAAGTATTTTGTACTAGGGTACGTAAAATAAATTTTGAATTTGGCTACGTAAAATCACAATACAAAAATGTTCAGTTGGTTGTCAAAGGATAACAGTAAACAAGAAATATATCAAAATGTGGTGGAAGGTCTTAAGACAATATATAAACATAAACTGCTACCACTGGAAGAACATTATCAGTTTCACGACTTTCACTCCCCAAAATTAGAGGATTCGGATTTCGATGCAAAGCCTATGATCCTACTTGTAGGACAGTATTCCACTGGAAAGACAACTTTTATTAAATACCTGTTGGAAAGAGAATTTCCAGGCATACGAATTGGACCCGAACCTACAACAGATAGATTTATAGCTGTCATGCACGATAATAAGGAAGGTATGATTCCTGGCAATGCTCTTGTGGTTGATCCTAAGAGGCAGTTTAGACCTCTGTCCAAGTTTGGCAATGCTTTTCTTAATCGTCTTCAATGTTCCTTAGTTGATTCTCCAGTATTGCAAAATATTTCAATTATAGATACACCTGGTATACTTTCTGGAGAAAAGCAGAGGGTTGATAGAGGTTATGACTTCACTGGTGTTTTGGAATGGTTCGCAGAGAGAGTAGACAGAATTATATTGCTTTTTGATGCACATAAACTTGATATTTCTGATGAGTTTAGAAGATCTATTGAAGCTTTAAGGGGTCACGATGACAAAATTCGTATTGTTTTGAACAAAGCAGATATGGTTGATCATCAGCAACTTATGAGAGTGTATGGAGCTCTTATGTGGTCTTTAGGAAAGGTACTACAAACACCTGAAGTTGCCAGAGTTTACATAGGCTCATTTTGGGATCAGCCTTTAAGATATGATGTGAATAGAAGACTTTTTGAAGATGAGGAACAAGATTTATTTAAAGACTTGCAGTCTTTACCTAGGAATGCAGCTCTTAGAAAACTTAATGATTTAATTAAAAGGGCTCGGCTCGCAAAAGTACATGCTTACATAATAGCTGAACTAAGAAAAGAAATGCCATCTGTGTTTGGTAAAGATTCTAGGAAGAAAGAGCTCATTAAGAATTTGGGTCAAATATATGATAAACTACAAAGAGAACATCAGATTTCCCCAGGTGACTTCCCAGAAATAAAGAAAATGCAGGAAGTTTTAGCCAATCTTGATTTTAGTAAATTTAATCCACTTAAACCAAAATTATTAGATATTGTGGACAGAATGTTGGCTGAAGACATATCAATATTAATGGCCAAAATTCCATTAGAGGCTGAGGAAAAATCTGCCAAAAATGGTGATAACATGGTACAGGGTGGAGCCTTCACAAGTGTAGAAGATACAATTTCACCTTTTGGTTATAAGAGAGGTGAAGGAATAGATGCTGGGGCAGGAGAGTTGGACTGGATTGTAAGCAGAGAGAAAGATAAATATGATGACATCTTCAAATCGTTAAAGCCAATAGATGGAAAAGTGTCTGGAATGAGTAAGTAATTTTTATTTGTATAGAGTATACTATATTTTATATACATTATATTATATTTCCAATTTAAAGCCATCATATCAACTAATAATACAAGAAAATAAATCAGGATATTTACATTTCATATTTTACTGTTTTTCTATAAAATGTTTTAAACTTATTAATGTATTACTCATGTCATATCTCATATATATCATTGCTGGACTTGATAAAATGGTATTTTTTCCTATTCTGTTAGAAAATAATAACTTTCATCTTGTCTGTTTGTTTACATTATTTGAATCACTTTTATGATTCACAGCGTGACACATTATGTGCATCATGTGGACATCATATGACAGATAATTATTCTTTTAGGCTTTATAAACAGCACTATAGTTTGTGTATTTGAGTAAATCTGATATATGTTAGAATGTTTGTAACAAAAGCATGAATAAGAAGTAATACACTATGACAGTCACAGAATCCTTATCTTAGGAAAGATCCTAATATATCAAGCAAATTATTTTTGATTGCAAAATGATGTGAGTTTGCCCTAGAGCTTGACAAGTTGAACTAGCTTTCCGCTTAAGTCACTCCTTTGGGAAATACATAGAAATATACAAGTATGTCCCAAATATATCTGGCCTTTAATTCACATAATTTATAAGCCTATAATTTTACAATTCGTTAATCTTCTTTGTCTAGCTTGTCAGATTCTTCAAAGTAATCCCAATTTTACATAACAGCATTCTCCAGTCTAAATAAGGACACGCATTTAAATTGCAAGACAAGCATTTATAAAAATGAAAACAATGTTTGTCAATCGAGACCTTCTTCTGGATCTAAGGATGCTACATGTTCTCGACTTTGTTGTATGGAATGGAAAGCTGAACACTAAAAGTGGATAATATAAAGAAGTTGGAATCATTTGAGGTGTGGTGCTATAGAAGGATTTTGAAAATACCATGGACCCAAAGAGTTACAAATGCAGAAATGTTAAAAAGGCTACAAAAGGATTGCGAGGTCATAAAGCACATCAAAACAAGAAAGCTGGAATATTTAGGCCACATTACCAGAGGTGTGAAATATGAGATATTAAGGCTCATAATGCAAGGTAAAATCAAGGGTAAGAGATCCATAGGAAGAAGAAGAATTTCCTGCCTGAGAAACCTAAGAGAGTGGTATAGTTGCAGCTCAGTAGATCTTTTTAGAGCAGCCGCCAATAAGGTACAATGTACCTATATGTCATATAGCTGTGATGATAGCCAACCTCTGATAGGAGAAGAAACTACAAGAAGAAGAATTCTCCAGTTGGATTTTTTTGAAGCTATTTGTTATTATTACCAGTCGTATTACAGTCAATTGGTTTATTGTATATCTTCCATTAGTGTAACCTTCTGGCTCAGTTTTTTTTTGTGTTAACAACTACTTGCATAGATGGGACTGACTCTGACTGGCTGACTTTATGGGCTCTGTGAAGCACAGTGGCAGCTCATTTAAAATAGAAATTAAAATATTTCTGGTATCTACTGGGATCAAACTCTAGTCATCCGGTTTTGTAAGCCAGTACCTTACCACTAACCTAAGGCTTCCACTTCTCCAATTTGCGATTTAAGTTACTGAAGCAGTTCTGAAACATTGTTTTTGTAATGGCTGTCAGTGCCTTAGTCATATTAGTTTGAATTGTGGCTATGCCAGCAAAATGCTGCTCTTTAAGTGGCATTTTTAGTTTTGTGAACACAAAATGTCAAAGGTGTCATGTCAGGACTTGATTGTGGAGGTTAGCTTCAATAAATGTACTGGCATAATCCAATTCCAAAACAATCGTCCCTAGCCCAAAAATCTTCAAACTGTGTTACAAAATATTTGTAGAACTTAAATATTGAATTATGTTCAATGACTGACTTCCAAGCTAATCTTTTGCAGTGAGCAATTTTGAAATGAATTTAACACACATGTGAATGATTTCCAAATGGTCAATTAAAATACTTAAAGCAGTTTGATGTAATCCTTTTTGCCAAATGGAGTGAAAGCTTTCTTAATATCCAAGAACTTTGGTAGCCCTTAGTTTTTGTAATCTTGCTGCCTGTATGTTGGATGTTACTATTCAAAGAGGATGGATGTTGATGATTTTTCCTTAAATCCAAGCTAGTGTGCTGGAAGCTGTTGGTTTAATTCTTTATATAGTTTTCCTTGGATAATTTTCTCAAAAAAAATTTCTATTACTGGGAGAAAAGTGATTGGACAGTAACTTATCAGTACTTATCTATATAAATGTAAAAAAAATTAAAACACAAGAACTGTGAGAGATATTTTCAAAAAGTTCTGTGAAGAAATTGACTTTATGTCCATTATTAATAGACTACCCAAACTTGTTCAAAGAAAGAGTGGATACAGTAATAGCTATATAAAAGCCAGCTGGTATAGAGAATTAATAAGAAAGAGCCAAACTCTTTCTATTCATCTTATGAAAATGAAGAGATGGATTATATGAAATACAGGATGCAGAACTTTTTAACCTGGTGCCAAAAATCATTATAAATGTTTTGGATGGCATAGGACTAAAGAGCTGTCAAAACCACTGTGAATTTATCAGAAAATAAACAAATGGAGACAAGGGATAAAGGAAAAAATAGAGTGTAACTTCCTCATATGAACACAGATACATTGTATTTAATTATATCCCCATTATTTATATCATCACCACAAGATAGCATAAATCTCATGCTTTTTGCAAAAAGTTACCAAAAATATAACTGTTATAAATGGATAAGAGATCTATTAAATATAGGTTAGTTTAAACACCAATTAATTTATTCTCATATATTTTTTGATGATCAGCCAGATGTTTTTAATTTGATTATTGTTGTATATATGTATTAAGTTGTTAAAATGTTATGTAACTCAATGCAATTATCAATTTGAAATGTATGTTGGACTCTTATCTTGTATTTGCTTATTACTATTCCACTGATATTGATTGTATCATGTGAACGTTGTCATTTTATTGCTTTTTGTTCAATTAATTGTGTCATGCTACTTAAAACTGAAAAAGATGTTATCATTAATTCTAGAAAAAAATCCTTTTAGATGACTAACTACTTTTTCAGATAATTTAGAATTACGATTTTGATAAAACTCAAATAAAGGATATAAATTATATTAAGAATTTCTGTAACTAAAAAATAAGGCGTTATGAATAAAAAAAATTGATTTTTAACTCCCATAATGTCGTGTTCTACCTTTCTTCTTTGCGTTTTTACCTGCCAAATTTCTTTCACAAGTTTTGTATCCTACATTCTCTGAAGATGACCCCACCAGTTGAGTTGAATATATATATATATATATATATATATATATATATATATTATATATATATATATATATTATATATATATATATATATATATGATTTCAGTTGTTTTCCGGGTTTGACTCCGCGTTAAGTAATTTTGGTTTTTAGAAAAACCATTGTTTTGACGACGTTTCGGCAAGGTCACACTTGCCATTGTCAAGTCAGATTAGTTCTGCTTCGTCTTGATGTTTCAGGAGAACTCCTGTTCTCCAGTTCTCCTGAAACATCAAGACGAAGCAGAACTAATCTGACTTGACAATGGCAAGTGTGACCTTGCCGAAACGTCGTCAAAACAATGGTTTTTCTAAAAACCAAAATTACTTAACGCGGAGTCAAACCCGGAAAACAACTGAAATCACATAGAGCTCCCGCGGAAGTTTCAAATCCAATATATATATATATATATATATATATATATATTATATATATATAATATATATATATATATATATATATATATATATATATATATATATTCTAATGTTGACTCTATTTGCAAATCTTCTCTTATTTGGGGGTTCCATAGTCTATCTCTTTTGGCAACTCATCGAACTTGTCTCGAATATTTCATTTCTACTGCCTGTATTTTACTTTTTTGTTGTTCTGATAGAACCCACTACTCACAATTGACTTGAAGCCACTACTCGTAAGTATTGGAAGGTTCGTGCTTGTATAAGTACTTCTTTTATTTTTATAGTTATCTTTTCTTCTTCTTCATTTTCTCTTATCACCAGAACTTTTGTTTTATTTTTATTAATTGTCATTCCATATTTTTTTAGTACTTCATTCCATATTTCTATATTTCTTTGTAGTTGTTTCTCATTTTCGACCAATATGACGACGTTGTCAGCGAATGTTCCTTCTGAAAGGTATACTCTTGTTAAATTTCTATAACCCACATGCATTTTTTCACTTTAACGTTACATTCGTTAATTATCTCATCCATATTTATCTATATTAATAAAAATGAATCGCTAAAATGTTTGTACGGGCATCACTTGAGAAGGACTGCACCAAATTAGATAATTTTTTTTATTGTGATTGTTATTATCAGGAAAAGGTTTATGTAAAATTGTTCGGAAAGACCTTGCAAACAGTTTTTCTGTCATTTTAAATCGCAATATAATTAATAGATGGCGCCATAACAAAGGAAGATATGATTAACAAAATAAATAGAGAGTTTTTGAAGACATATTTTATGCACGATTGCATCATCACCTAAAATACAGCAATGGCGAAGATTTTACATGTATGCAAATTAATCGTTTGGGATGAATGTACATTGACCCACAAGAGTCCAGGACTAGACAGAACTTTAAACGATATTCGTGAAAATCAAAAACATTTTTGGTGGAGCCATGATTCTATTTTCAGACTGTTCCTTATTTAATCATTATTCCCCAAATAATGCATGTCTAACATCATCCAATTTTTGGCGGCATGTAAAGTTGGCAACTTTTTGAAGCAGTTGTTAGATATTGGAAATGGTAAAGTCTCTATCTACCAGATCCGTTTCATTATCCATAGATTTCTGTTCTTTAATAGACTCAAAAGAGGAGTTTATTGAACTTTGGTACAATATTGAATTTTAAGGTGATACAAAGTTCGGCGGGTTGGACTTAATCCTCCTCCTCCTTGTCTCAGACCCTTGTTTATAGTAAATGGT